TTCTGATCATCTCCTCAATGCCCAATTTTCCTCCCGTTGAAGGAACCACCTACCCTTTTCTAGACCTTGGATGGATGGGAATATGGATTTATAAAATACCTGGCCACATCCAGTCAATAAAACTCATTTTGAGAACCATGCCCACATACACAATTAACTGTCAGGTGATAATCTGGGCGGAGGAGGTGCGCCAATATCGGTTTCTGGAGGCTTTGTTTCATTTTCCCCTTTAGACTCAGCTCTTAATTTGTTTCTCTCTTTTTACAAAAAATGGACAAAATGAGGATGTCTTGCAAAACAAGAGCAAGAGTGTGATGGGGGAGATGAAAGCCATGCAGCAGTAATTCCAGCTCACGCCCTCCTGCGTCCAGAGCAAGGCTTTCTTTCCTTCTGCACGGCACTCTAAATTCCACACTGTGGGTCACAGCTTCCCTTTGAATTCTCAGCTTATGTCGCTATGTGTTGCCACCTTGATGCTATTTAGACAGTTTTCTTTTAGCACACAGACAGTGAACTGGTCCCGTTTAAACAGGCTGTTATTTGATAGGCGTGCATTCCTTCAGATCTGAAGCTGTACTGAACGTTGTTACAACTGTATCACACTCTGTTCTAATCAACCGTGGTGTAAATCTGGGTAGCACACTCACAAGGCATTTGCAAGATGGGGAAGAGAAAATAAAGCACAGGAAGACTTTAGGGTCATATAGCTCAGCATATTTAAAAGGCACAACTGTTCTCTGTGTAACATCTAAGAAAGTAGAGCTCTAAGTTCTACCTTGCTAAGGTAATTATTTTCTGTTTTAAACATTTAGCTGCATGCTGCTGTACCCTTGCTGGGCCTCAGAATGAAAGCTAGCAAACTAAGAGCCCTACTGTATGTTCTTCATTCCCAGCAATGTTCCTATGAGAAAACCTTATTAATGAGCTTGCAAACGAGCACCCAACAGGGAAATGTCACAAACAAGAGCGGCTAATGCCCCAGAAAATCAAATAACTGAACACTTGGCTGACTGTGGTGCCTTTCATATTTATAATAAAAAAGAGGAGGGGGGACTTTAATTCACTGATTCTGGAGGGGTCAACACCTTACTGAACAAAACAACTCATTTATTTATGTTCAGAAATCTCCAGATGATAAATTACATTGATGTTAATCACTTCAATGCATACTACACAATTAATATCTGTACTCACCAAAATTTAAGGGTTATTAAAAGTATGACAGCATACACATCTGGCTGATTTTTCACATAATTGGGCACAACAATTTCTCCTGGTACCACAAATAGAAGTACTAACAAACAAACACTACAAAATGCTGGTTCAATTAATTAGGACTTGAATCCACAAGACAAAAGCAATGCCCAGCTGTAGCTCAAGCCTTGTCTACTGTGCAACACAGACGAGCTACACATCTTAAGGGGGAAGCATGCCCCTTCCTTTCTTTTTATCGCTCCTCCCTCTGTCATCCTTCAAGTAGGACATTCAATGGCACACAGTGAAGGAAATTTCATTTTCCTCTGAACTTCATTTGTAAAACAGGACTTAACTTATTCGGAATTCCACCACCAGTCACTTGGCCCTGCTGATGTCCCAGTTGACATTCATTTATCTTAGATGGGACAGGGAGATCATCCCACAAACCTTCACTGTCCAAAACTGGCCACGAGGAAAGCGGCTGAAGATGCCTAACAGCACTTGGGTCTCTAGTCATCCACATCTTAGTTACTCGGGGAGAGTGTGAGGACTGTGAAGGGCTCAGATTTTCTGGTAACAGTTGATCCACAGTCATAGTCTGAAGAAATCTTCTTAGGTTACAAAGGAAAGGACATTTAGAAGAGCAATGTGGTTGTGGTGTCGCACGCCTTTAATTCCAGCACACAGGGAGGCAGAGGCAGGAGGATTTCTGTGGGTTACAGGCCAGCCTGGTCTACAAGGTGAGTCTAGGACAGCCAAGGCTACATAGAAAACTGTATCTCGAAAAAGCATAAAAAAAGAGAAGAAAAGAAAAGGACAATGGTATATTTAAAAAAAATTTAGATGAAGATGAAAACACATAATGAATAAAATCCATAACTTTACAGATTTTAACACAGGGGTCATAGTTAAAGCAGTAAAGTAGCCTAAGGAAAATAGATCTTATCAGTGACTGAAGAACTTAGCAAAATTCTACTGGGTAAATGAATCACATGTTACAAGCAAAATGTGGTGACTGATAACTCACCTTCCCAGGTCTATGATATCAAAGAAGTTTTTAGGGGCTAGTGACCCTATAAAGGTGATAACTTCAGGGATTAGGGTCATTTTTAAAAAAGGAGGTGGGGGAGGGGGAAGTGTACTGTTACTAATCATGGGTGTCCACAATAATTCAGTTTCTACAGACTGCTTTTGGAGCAACTGTTCTAAGAGCCCCAACCCTTTCCTTAGGCTCATCAAGACAGTAATGCTTGTCTGTAGAGAAAGAACTGCTGTGAGTGAACGGAGCTAACTACCACAATTGCTTAACTGCTAAGACTTAGGGCCAAATGCTTTTAAGCATCAGGCTTATGGACAGGAGTCTTTTAACAGGCGTTCAAGGAGCATCCAGCTGGTTGGGAATGATGCAGAGAATCCCAACTGTGTTTGGAGGTGCTGAAGACTTCCTGGCTGCCTTCACAAGGGTCAACACAGCTCTGGGAATGGAATACAATTCTTAGATGGAAGAGCCAGGTGACTTTCTAAATTTCTAAGAATCTTAAGCCAGACCCCCAACTCCCCTTGCGAATTGTATAAAGCTCTGTAATTCACAACCTTCCTTTACAAGATGTTTTTTTCATTTACATATTTTTAAAAGCATCAAGAATATACTGTCTATATGACTTTAGTTGAGAAAAGAGCACAGTGAATTACAAAAGCAGCTGCAGTAAAGGTGGGAACTGATCAGGATCTGCAGACTCAATTCTGAAGGTGTCACAGTGACTCTCCTGAAGGGAGGAGCCCATAGTACTTTGTTGGATTAGAGTCAAATGGATTCGGATACAAAGCTATATTCATTTTCTTGGAAGGAGAAATTCCACTCGAATCTACGGAAGATGAAAACAAGGCAAGAAATCATTTTCACATTTTCCAGAGGTATGGGGCATACTGTTTGAAATATTCTGCATTTGGCAGTGAGTGTAATTTTGTAAGTGGGAGGGGCTATACTCTATTTAAAAGATACTCCAGGAAACTACTTAAAGGGTTTAGGGGTGGAAGCCGGGTGGGTATCCACTCAGGACTCACAAAGGAGCTAATGTATTATTAAAGCTAATGGGCCCCTACAAGGAACGTTAATGGATATTAAGTTTGCTTAAACGAATTACATATTAACAAAGTCACAAGAAATCTACTATCTGCCAATTTAGATAATATCTGATCATTTCTGTTTTCCCATTATAGGGACATTACACCACAATAGTTTTAGTGATATGAAAATTATAAGCATGATGCTCATAATGAAGCTATATAATGAAGTAGAGGAAATGAATTAACAAGAAAAACCTTCATTCTCTAATGTAAATTGAGCCATGCTCGCAGGGTAAGAAGAGGTTTGGACGAGATGGTCTCTTATAAGCAAGTTTATAACTTCCCCTACATCTTGTTCTGCTTGAACAATTTAACCACACAATAAGGAGGGCATCAGCTAAAAAATGGCTTCCAAAGACAAGTTCAAACCCCAAGAACCTGTGAATGGGGCCAAATTTGGAAAAAGAATCTCTGCATGTGTAATTTTCAGGATCTCAAGATGAGAGCATTCTGGATTATCTGGGTGGGCCCTAAACTCAGTGACAGCGCGTCTCTATATGACACACAAAGATGCCTCCTGAGTGATGGGCATGAGCTGTGAACACCTAGTCCTGGTGTCATCTAAGACCATCAGAAAACAGATACTTACCTTATGATCCGTAACAGCAGCAAAAGTATAGTTATAAAGTAGCAATGAAAATAATTTGATGATCAGGGGTCACAACATGAGAAACTGTAGTAAAGGGTTACAAGTTAATTGAGAGCCACTGCCCTAATCCCTGGGAGAACTCCAGTGTACTTGCCCTGTAAGAAGCAGAAAGGACCCTTTCTAAGGCCTCTTCAGGAAAGGTGGTCCAAATAACCATCTCATTTTGGTCCTTTGGCATTTGGAATTTAGTGAATTTCTATATTTTTTTTTTAGGAAAGATCTGAGAAACCCTAATTGTGATGGTGGCCCTAGAGCACTAGCAAAAGAAATCGCAGAGCTGGTATTGCATTTCCTCCATTAGATTCCCAAACACTGTTCTCCTACCCAAACCTTTGTAACACCGCCCACTACACACATTCCAATATATTTGGGACTTCCAAAGGACAAATTGCAGAAAAAAAAATCTTTTGATGAAAAGTGAGAGAAGATGGTAACTTGGTTACAACCTTGGTTAGAGTATGGCTTGGGATAGAAAGATTTCCCCTCCTATCTGAAACAGAAGTGCTTGGAGGAGAAGGCAAGAAGAACCTCCTCTTTAATTTACAGGGGACAGTTAGGGACACTCTCACTCACTACAGTGTAGTATTATGGACGAAGTTCAATTTTTAACTCTCTGTTCTAATTAACACTAAACAAAGATGCAATTTAGAACAAAAGGTTGGTGTGAAATGGGAATAAAAATATGAACACCCAGTGTTTACAATAGATTAGAGGGAAGGAGGATCACCACAACAGACTTGGCCTGGAAATGATGACAGTCACCACTGAAAGAAGCTGATCTTAAGCCTTGTTAAAACAGACTGTCACTATTTTAGCTTCATGTTTGAGTTAGACACAGTATCTTCACATTCTCATTGGCACTTGATAATACAATAGCATTTCAGTACAATGATCTTTCTATTATTTTTCTACCATGACAACAGGGGGAAACCCATCTGCATGGTATAAAATGTATATGTGAATTTCAAGGAATGACCATTAGGAGTTTCTAAGCACTGGCCTCAAAACACGATGCTTGGCTACTCACACTGCACTTCTAGATACCGCTGGGTCTGCAGGTTTCCTGTGACTGCAGGGTGCTCCACCTGACAGATCACTGGGACCCCATCATCCTCCTTGTGCACCTTCAGCATCAGCTGACTGGTCACAGTGTACATGTCCGACCACTCTTCCACCTCTGATTTGCCTGTGGGAGACAAAATACATCAAGATCCTTTCCCTTCTCCCTATCCCAACGGTGTTACTTTGGGCAATATGATGGCAGTGTCATGGGTCAGGGCAATCTGGCAGGACAGCCCATAATGTAGTTATTTCCCTTAATTTCTTTCTTTTCAGCCATGCATAACAACATGTCAGATATATTCCAAACCTAAATAGTATGATAGTACACATTATTTTATTTAAATAGATTATGTATATTTCTTCTATCTTGGAACCTCCTGCCAAGCCAGTTGCAAGTCAAGCCATTTTGACTCTGGCTGCTTGTGGCAGTGGGAGGAGGAAGAGAAAAAGCTTTTCACCCTGCAGTCATTGGAACTTCAGATATCTACCAGGCTGCCACAGAAAAACCTTCCAAGGCTCAGTCCAAATCTCCTAAGTAATTCAGTCAGCAGTAGAGACATAAACAACCCCCTTTGCCTACCCCCATCATCAACAATTAAGAGGGAAGGTAACTAAATGGACTTACTTAATTGAAACTGTAATTGAAATGTTTAAACTCTTTATTCTTTTGGAAGATCACGAGAAATGCAGTGGCAGTGGGCTAGCGCAAAGTAAGATATAGGGCTTTGGGCCAGATGGGATACATGTCCAAGAACACCCAGAAAAAGAGGGAGGAAGCTTCCAGAGGAATGAATAGTCCTCGGCAGTCCCTTCCTGACCCCCAGAGGCACTCCCAGAAGCGTGGTACGTTATTAACTTTCTTTGAATGTTTTGTACTTAATGGTACACATTTAACGACTCAGTTCATTTCGACAGAGAAGCAGAGAGGAAACGAGAAGCTCCTTCCTTACCTAGGATGTAGGAGTTTAAGACAGAACAAGCGTTTGGAAACTTGCTGCTGTCTACACAGCTCTTCTTTTCTGGATATAGATTTCCATATCACCTTTCTAAAATGGCTGCTTTCTTCCTTGCACTGTTTACTTATTTAATGAGCATACATATAGCACTTACTCTGTTTCAGTGAGTTGTAAATATTCACTCATTCCATGTACATAATAGTACCCTATAACTATTGTTTCCATTTCAGAGGAAACAGAGGCACATGGCTAAGTATTTCTGTTAACAGAGGTAAGCTCCAGAGTATTTGTTCATACACTACTTTCAGGGCAATGTAGAAAAAAAAGGGAGCCAAATGCTGACAGCTGTGAGAGACAGGATGAACAATAGAAAATGGTCAAATAGGAACAAGGCTATAAGAGCTGGCCGAAGTGTCACCCCAAAGTCACAGTATGCAAAGAACAGGATGGCATATTGGGCAAAAGACAGGTTCACCAGCAAAGTCATCCCTGTACATTCATGATTAACATAAGGTCTTGGTCTGCAATGCAACTTTTCTTGCAGGAAAGCACATATTGACAACTGATGGTATGATGCATGTTAGAATGATTTGGAACTTTAAAAATGGCACACCATGAAAATGTGCAGTTTTGAACCACAAAACAGAGAATAAGAGCAATGAAACGTGAGGTACAGACAGAGACAGCCCCAGACTGCAAGCTATCCCTAGCACAAGCTCTTCCTGAAGAGTGCAAGCTTACAGGTTTGGTTCACCATCAACTCTCAAGCCACAGAGGAAGATTATGAACGAAAACAATGAAAGCCATCATGTTCTGGCCTCAGATGTTTTTGCTAACTGATTAGAAACCATATCTGAATGAATACTTTTGTTTCAGGGGCATTCGCTTATAATTTTCACAAAGGCCTACTTGTGAGTGCCAGCTAACTGCTTCACAGCTAGGCAGTCTGCATCATACCTTTGAGCTCCTTGTTCCCTTTGAACCATCTGATGGTCGTGGCCGGCTTGCTGGCCATGGCAGTGCAGTTGACTTCAATCTCCTCCCCTTCAACTGCCGTGTCTTTCTGGATATCAATCATCAAGTTACGTGGAGGAACTAGAAATTAAACACATATGCTTTGTAAATACAGGACCTGTTCATGGTCAGATTTTCCTGTTCGCTGGAATCAGTGTTCCTGTTACCAACAAAGGCAAACAAGGGACATTGCTAATGACATCACATCCGGATGGCAAAAGAAACTGCCAGAGGAGAAGAACTGGCTGGAAAATGCCATGTAAAGTGTATCATGCATAATCAGTTAATTCAGAATGTCTTTCCTAAATGTTTATTTAGTAACCAGGAATGACTCTCCAATTTCTGAATTATCACTGATTGAGGACTAACAATCCAGACATTAGTCATTAGATAACGAATAAGGAAATAGGTACAAAATCAAGCGGGGTACACAATATTGAAATTAATGTCCTTAAGCTGGAAGTCCCTGAAAGCAATAATTGTCCTTGAACTCTATCCTTGAATTTCAATCTTCATAGGAATGACTTCAAAGTCTACTAACAAAGATGAAAAGCTTGGGATCCCTTAGAAGAACCACTCATCACAAACACCTACAGGAAAAGTATGCCTCAAAACCAGATCCACTGAGCCAGAGAGACTCACAGAAGTCAGGACACACTCCTGTCCTCCAGTGGGTAGGGTGCCCTTAAACAGAAGGTTCAGCAATACAGGAAATTCCGGGTATGAGCAGATTATTTACCACACTCAGAATTCCAATGCTCAGACCTCGGAAAACAAAGGTGAGAGAGATTCTGAAGTGCTTGAAAGACATCCAGATATCGGAATTAAAACACTTTTCTATAAGCATATTCAATATTTCTGTAATAAAACAGTCAAAACAAAAGACTTGAGGGCTTACATGCTGAATAGCAATCAAGAGCGTGTACGTGACAGCAGTGATGAAGATGACGGGAGTTATCTCATACACACACACACGTACACACTGAGTTGAGGGTGAAACCTCATATACTGCGTGTGGTCCTACCTCATGACTGAGCCTCCTGAAATAAAAATCAGTAAGAATACAGAAATCAGTCGTGTGAGTCTAAGGATATGAGCCCTGGCCACCATGAATAAGCAAAGACAGGGTGAGACTTATGATTAATAAGTTTCTCAAGTCAGAAGAGAAACAAGAAATTAAATATGTATAAACATGACGTCCTGACCATCAAGTTGAATAATACATCCCTGATGCTGCTTCAATAAATTATGGGATTAAACCATGTTATTTGGGATTTCCAACTGTTCCAGTCCAATGTGAAAATTCTGTCCAAAGGAAGACTTTCATACTGAATTAGAGCAACTGAAAATTATTATAGAGAATGATGAAAGAGGAGAAACAAAATGATTTGTTGCATATGTTTCTCAGCAAGATGGCACTCCCTGGCAGCAAGGAGGGGTAACTGCAGAGCCTCTGCTCCGTTCCCATGTATGAGGAAAACATAACATGCTTGGTCAGGTGGTTGGCTAATGTGGAATGGCCCAAATGAGTACTGAACTCATGGCAAAGAACTACCCTGGCTTACAATTAAAAACACTAAGCCAAGGGGACAATTTAACATCCAGTTTACTTGTGTACAGCTGATTGAATTTTTAGAAACCCAAAAAGAAGGTGAGGTAACTTATTTGTGCAAATGACAGTCAGGTGGGTTACAGACTGCCACTTCCTATATCTAGACAGTACACAGGGAATACAGACAGTGCACACTCAGAGTAAGCAAACACTACTGCGCTCTGGGTGCAGGATGGTAGGAATCGTGAAGGGAAAATGCTAAGGTTGGATCAAATCTTCATGGAAACAACTGACTAAATCCGAAGAAACTAAGATCTTGGTAAGTGACATTATAAGAGAAATAAAGAGAGACTGAGGAGTGAAAGGCCACAGGAGGGTCCTCACAGACAAACTGAGGCACCGAAGAGAAAAGATAGCCACTTGGAGTCTGGGTGGAAATAAAAATGGTAATGAAAATAATCCTTGAGGTTGATATATTTTATACTTCCTGATAAGAATGGTAATTATGAATGCCATTGTCAGAATATGATGCTAAGGACCACAAGAGAGGGCAAATGGCTAAAGCTACTGACAATGCTGGAATTCTGGGAGAAACACATTGATGGGCACTCACAATTTAGGCAATTTCTCAATGGGAACAGTCCCAGAAGTTGCCCCACACAGATGACTAAGTCTCCATGGGATCTGGTACTGATGCAGCCTGTCAGTTGTGCTCTGTGTTGCCCTTGTTTTCTCACTATTTATGGCGGGCCTGAAGATACACCAAGACTCTCTACTCCAGGCCTCTCATACCCTTCTCCAGCTGCTCATTTCGTTCCCTGTTACTTTTCTTAAGGACAGACTGTTTCTTTCTGTGCATGGTTTTAGTCCTTGGTCACTGGGCTCAGTGTTTCTGGGCCCATAGCTGGACAGAAAGAACAAAACAGTGATGAAGCTGTGTGGAGAAAGAGGCTGTTCACATCATGGCAGACAGGATACCAGCAGAATGGACCTAGAAGGGCCCAGGACAACAAGATATAGCTCCAAGGACATGTGTCCCAAGGCACATTTCTTTCAGTGAGGCCCGGCCACCTCTCTCACAGATGCTATCATGTTACAAACCAATCTAAGGATGAATTCATTGATTAGGTCAGAGACCTCAGCATGCCAGCTGGTGAAAAAGCCCAGAAAACATGAAGCCATAACAGACAATTCACATTCAAATTGTAATAATCTCCAGTGGCATCTCTTGGTAGAAAGACTTTGCTGCCTCCATTTGGTCCTAAAGATGGTTGGTGTCAGTTACTCCCAGATCATCAACAATGTCTGCTAATTCAAAGTAAGGAGAGGAAAAAAGACCGGTGTACCCAGGACGGGAAAAATCCATGAATAGCACCTTTTACTTAGTTTTCTGTTAGGGGTGGGGTGGGGGGAAGAACTTGACAGGTAGTAAGGTCTGTATCTGACTCCCCCACCTCCACCCCCACACCCTTTGGTCTTAGCTTTCTCACTTTCACCTCTGTTGTAAATGATACACACTATGGGCCTATGAATTTCAGAGTAATCGGGAATGTCTGGTTCCCAGGATTACCTTCCTGGAAAGTTGGCATCTTCTTTACTTTAAGCCAAGGGAAAAGTGTAGAAAACTCCAAAAGCTGGAAAATATACCCCACGTAGAAAAACAATAGACTTGTGTACTGTTGAGGTCATTGTTTTGAGAAACAGCACAATGATTTCTCCCAAGCCCATAAATAGTTTTTTCAAGGTTGTGGCCACCCTGGCTCATCTTTGCTGAGATCAGAGGAAGAAAGAGGCAAGCAGAGTGGGAGTTGTCTGATTACAAGGATAAGATTTAATAATTTGCATTTTTGATGCCATAAAGATACTTCTCTCGGTCTTTTGTTCCCCTATGTGGAAACCCTCATTTAGTTTGAACTAGAAACACTCAGAGGTCTGTATTTCTTGGACTTTTAAAGAGCATCAAATTACTGAACAATACACATAAGGTCATTTAAATGTGCCTTTATGAAAACAGAAGGTTGGAAAAGAAAGTATCTTGGCCTATTAATCCTATCCCATTTTTTCCTTTAACTTCATCCTGGTTTCATAATGTCTATTCTAACACAAGAGGTTAGTAAAATATAAAATCCATTCTAGAAAGCTGAAGAAAAACTGTTGCCAGCCAAAGAATACACGATCCATTAAACAGACACAGCTAATAAGAACTTCCTGTAGCCATCAACGAAAACCAGCACAGACGCCTCTGGGAAGGAACATATAGAGGAAAACCTGAATGGAAATCACACACAGGGAAGCACTAGAAAACAACCCAGAATGTCAAGGTTCCTGCCAGCTAACCTCAAACCTATAAGCGTGCTAATTATAAATATTACGCCTACAACATTAAAAAAAATCAGCAATATCAAGATGAGTCACATTAATTACCACAAAAGAGGAGTCTTAAAGCTGATCAGTATGTGCAATCTCAGTCTAAGGTCCTTTAAAATAATTAGGTTCTCCCGTTCCTGGAATCTTAAGAGTGAGCACTAATCTTAGGAGGATGGGACTGTAATAATCTTAGCTACTGTTACAGTCACTGCACTCATTTCAGCACGGCATACTCTCTCCCTCGTTCATCTCCTCTTACAATCGGAATATAAAGAGCCCTACATTGTGAGTGTGGATAGGGGCATGAACTCACCATAAGTGGAAGGACCGAATACACTATGGCCCCTGAAATACACAGAAACTATCACAGGAGAGTTCTTGGTTTTTACATGGATGAGATCCAAACATAATGTAACTACATAATAGCATAGAAAACATTAACAGTCATTTCTGTATCTTATAATTATGCAAAAGTGTTTTTTTTTTTCTGAATGCATTAAGTAACTAATAGTCATGTACACTAAAATGAGCATCTTCAACCTATCGAGGAGTTTGACAGTTGTGTAAGTACATATGGAATCCTATTTAGAGCACCAGGGATAGCAATGAAGATGCTAATGCATCACTCTCCATTCATTATAATATCTAAAACTCTAAACCTTAGGAGGAAGGCTTGAATGTGTATCGGTGGAAATTGTCAGATTTTGGAATATGAAAGACTCTCACACTGATGACAACAATTTTACTCTGTCAAGGAATCCTAGAGTAACTTCAATGGAAAGAATATTAAATGAATGCATAATATCTGCAAAAAGAACATTGACTAGTATTACTTTCAAGTACACTTAAGTTAATGCTTTGATAAAAAGGAGACTATTACTTCTAGAATAATGAGACCTCCAAATGGATTACAGGGATGATGCCTCTAGGAAGTCTCCATGTTGACAGTTGAACCCAAGCACAGGGAACGTGCACAGTTGAACTGGGATGGCACGGTGACCGAGACACTGATAACTGACAGGTAGCAGTGTCTTGCCAATGGCCCAAAAGATGCGCTCCTGAAAACTAAATGTGAAGCTCCACAAATGTTCTGAAACACGGCACACGGGCTTTAACTAAGAATGTTTGCTCTTTGAGCCACAGCGGTTGTCAGGCAGAGTAGTAAGTACACAGAGTCCAGAGTCTTAATTCTGTATGTGCATATCTCCATGTCTCTATAACACATATGCGTGCACATATGTATATCTTTGTGGAGATTAGACTTCAGATATTGTTCCTCTGGCACCATCTACTTTTGTTTTCTCAGACAAGTCTCTCACTGACTTGGGATTCTCCTAATAGATCAGGGTGGTTGCCCAGCCCCAGGTAGCCATCCCCTTGCCTCTGTACTGTGAATTACAAGAGCATGCTATCGTGTCTAGATTCTAGGGACTGAACTCAGGTGTTTTCACCAGCTGAGGTACCTCTCCAGGTCCTCAGATTCTTAGTTCTTATTGTGTGCTTTGTATCCTCGGCAGAATTCCCATGAAATTAAAATATCAAAACCTAAAGGCTCCATATAGTAAAAACCGTTCTGAAAATTCAAAATGTTACAGGTACATTGTGCTTCCTTGCTGTCACTCTTGCAGTGATGCTGCAAGTGATGGCAGCTCCAGTGTAGATGGTCACTTTAAATTTGAAAAGGTGTATTCACACACATGGAGACAAGCAGAGACAGAAAACTTCAAATGCTTCCTGGTGAATTTGGCTCATCTGTACAACAGCAAAAGCTCTAGCAGAGCTTTCCGTGCAGATCTCACACAGATTAAATCAGGAGTGACGTACATGCAAAAGCTATAGACCTTTGCACACAGACCACACTAGGAACTGTGTGGCAAGACGTTAGGTCCCACCTTCTAAAAATCACAATTGGTCATACCAAGAGTACATGCAGGCTTTGGGCACATACTTTGGCTTAATGAATTAAAACCATTTTCCCTTTTACAGCTGTGTTTAAATAAAGCAATGAGGAAGCAGTTCAATATGCACATTTATAAATACATATGTGTGCACACACCCAGTGACAATGTCCTTCATATTTATCTTTCCTCTTTAATCTTCATATCATTACACCAAAGAGCTGCAGCCTGACCCCTCAAATAGACTTTGATTCATCATCTTGCTGAAGGAGTAAATCAGAGATCTTGCCTTTCCACAGTATTACGTCCTTGAAAGTTCAGTTCCACCCGCCTGGATCAGCTACTTACTGATATGCACCAGAGTATATGAACTCAGTGCTTTCAGCACAGAAATACTTGCTGACTATATCAAAACATAAAGCCATCACCCTGGCCACTGGCATTTCAGTGAAGAGCATAATCTGGTAACCACAAATGAGGACGCACAAGTCAGTGGAGGTGACCTCACAGCCTGTCATCACTTCTCTGGTGTTTCTGGTTAGTCCACTCTCAACTGCCTTATGTTGATGGCTCTACCTGGTGGCAAGGAATGTTTTGTGGGTATGACTTTCTGTTCTGTAGCATGATCTGAGCTATTAGTAATAAATAGGGCAACAGATAAATAAAGCCAAAGGAAAAAGGCTCAACCACATTCAAATAAGGATGGCAGTCATCAGGTGAAATCATCACAAGATACCTGAGCTCTGTCATGGGTGAAGGTTCAGGAGCCCATCTCCTCTCTTCCACAGAAGGGAAATAAAACTTGGGGTACTTTTGTCACACGAAAAGACGCATGTATTTGAGGGATCTGACCTTCTTGATCTTTGCTTGTTTCTGAAGCTGGTGGGTTGAAACCCAAGAGCAGGTATAATCTATAAAAATGGGCGACTGCTATTTCTGAGAACACTGATAAAATTGACTATTTTTAAAATTCAGCAAGATGGGTGGTGGTTCTTTCTAAAAGAAGTTGCAACAGTGAGACCGACTTATAACCCTTCCTTACTACTGAGAGCTATCTGGTAGCCTGAGCTGTCCCACTGGCTCCCCAGGACTAATAAGCAAGCATGTCTTACCCAGGACTGTGATGGTGGTGTAACTCTCCTGTGGGGGGGTCAGTGTAGAGCTGGCAGAAGTATCTGCCTTCATCCGAAATTGAGACGTTTGTCAGTGACACTTTGAGTTCACTGCTAGAAAAATTCAGCAGCTGAAACCTGCTGTCCTTCAAAGCTGTGAAACAAAACACAGTCAGTGATTGTGCAAAAGATGACGGACAATCTATTTTCCTTAACTAGGCAAGGGAAAAAGTCAGATGCTAGAAAAACAGCCACAGAATGGAAACAGTTTAAGTCTTTCTGTATCTGAACGGTACTATTTTAGGTTTCTGCAGTAGCTACATGCAAACAAATAACCAGCCTGACCTCTCCTAAAGAAACTTGTACACATACCATCAATACCACCACCAACCACCACCACCACCACCACTCTACTGGGACTATTCCATTGCGTTTCTTCAACACTTATTCATTCCTAAACTGTTTCAGGTTTCCTATTAGAGACTGGCAAAATGAAATGTGAAGGAAGGGGCCTATTTCGAGTACAACATGCCAGGCTCTCTCAGGTGGGCAGCAGAAATTCAGCAACAAAAAAGTACTTTTTAGAAAAAAAAAATGCAAAGCCCCCCCCCAAAAGAAAAGAAGAAGAAGAAGAAGAAGAAGAAGAAGAAGAAAAGAAAGAAAAACCAAATCAAGAAAATAATTTCAAAGCAAAATGTAAAATGCTGATTTTTAACATGTTCTAGAAGACTATTTAAATTGGCCACATCTGAATTTAGGGGATATTGATTGAGGTGGGATGGGGCAGCCTGACCTAAGGCCTATAGAGGACATAGCTGGTGACATACTTTTTTAGGTAAGTCCACCTTATGTGATCTGAAAATTGAATTTAGAATCACTACAAAGCACTGTATGTGGGCTTCTTGTTTAATATGAAGTCTTTTCCACAGTGTTATTATTTTTGGAAAGGCTATTCCCACCATGTGCATGTGGTATGCAGAGACCCATACCGTGAAACTGCTCTCTCTTTCCACCATGAGAGTTCTTGGAATGGAATTCAGGTGGTCAGGCTTGCTACATGCACCTTCAGCCTCACACATTTCATGGCCCTTCTTTAGTCCCTTTAAATGTTCCCTGTTTATTAACCTTTTCATTGAATGGACCAAAATACTAGGAGCAGACGGGAGAGCAAATAGCCCCGAACAGGGCATGATGGATACCTGCTTCAGTTAGGTGTCTTGTCTTGTCAAGCCATGGCAACCGTATGAGCCTTGGTGTCATATACAATTCAGTTTTAAAGGCTGGCTTTTGTTAAATTGCATCTGAATGGATTTCAGCCTATGGCTATCTCTGTACAACAGAGGTTATGGTGAAAGATCTGGTCCTGTCATTACAAGTATAGATTGCCTTGGAAATACCAATCTTTAAACCAAACAGGTTCCCTATCAGAATGCTATATTTTCCTTGCCTTACCCTATTTGAGTTGTTTGTGTCAGCTAAGTATTTGGGACTCGATTGCAATTCACCTTGAATTACTACAATCAATTCCTATTGCAAAGTAAGACTTTTAAAGGGGACCATTCAAGGTTTCTATTAAGTAGAAAGATTATGATTGCCTGTCTCTTCTTCTCTCTAAAGAATTGACTAAACTTTAAGCATCTAACATTAAATTAGAAAGAGGTGGCCTTGGCAATCTCTTTATCAAGACAATGCATAGGTTAAAAAAAAAGTTGCCATCTAATACTGTAGGTGGAGACTTACGCCTGAAGTCTCTGAAGTAAATGGTCTGCCTGTTGGGGTTCAGTAGTTGAATCACGGAGTCGTCACTCTTATTGACTTGGCAGCTGATGGTTGCAACTTCTCCTTCGATCACTGTCACGTCTTTAGTAAACAGATTCTGTCCATCACCTTTAAGAAAAGGGAGAAAAAGGTCAGATGGAACTCCCATCATTTAAAATTTAGTCCATGAGACCCATTACAGCAAAAAGAAGTTAGAAATCCTTTGCAAAAGTAACAGCTGGTATGGCCCTAAATACTTTTCTCCCTAGTTCACAGAATGAGTCATCAAACCAAGGGAGTTCTAGGTTAAGAAACAACTAAGCATGAAAGTGACATGGCTCAGAAAGAAGGGGTACTGATGTTCCAACCTCAGGTGAAGCAGTGTGCTGAGGAGGAACCAGAAAGACTTAGATTGCTGTGAACACGGAAGCTCTCTCACCTAGAAGAGGGAACATATGGTCAAGCCCTGACTACATGCCCTTGACCCAAGATAAACGTAAGGAAGGGTGGCTTATTGAAGAAGGAACAGGAAGGCTCAATAAATGACCTCGTCTAGTTAGCAGGTGCTGACATTCCCAATGTACAGGCAGTTCATTTTGTCATGTGAAGGGGTGAAGACCAAGCTGCCTATGACTCTTTGAGACCTCAATAAAAGCCAAAAGGCCTACAGTTTAGAGTCTGATTCAGCTGTCAAAAACACACCTTCATGACTCACCCAAAGCCCAGCACAACCCTGAGCTCACCATCCTCCCTAATGATCACCCCTTCAGCCACTAAAAAAATTTCCAGAACCTGTCAAAGTGTGAGAGCTTAGATGCACTGATATAAGGCTTGTCTCTATATCTGCTCTATTTGCAGCGTCGAGATTTGTTCTAGCAGCCAAAGCATCTCCTAAATGTGTGAAAAGATCACAGCACAAGGTAGAAGTTCAATTTAGAAGCAGATGATAAGGAATTGTAATGTGTTTGATTCTTTGGTTGGCATAACAGGGGACAGGGAAGACTGGGATATTCTTCTAACCTTTCGGAAGCTGAGATGTGAGTAAAACAGACTATACTTTCCAAACAAAAAGTGTGTTTATAGGCAGCAGATGTAACAGTCAGTCAAGAAGGGGGAAAAGATACCGCTCTTACATCAGGAAAATTATCTAAAATCCCGGAGCCAGTTTTCCATCTACAAAATGGGGGCAGTACTTAACAGCTACCCCATAAAGTTGTTATACACACAAAGCAGTTAGCACTGTGTCTAGCATCTCGTCAAACTAAACAGATGGAAACTGCTACTACTAGCATCACCATCACATGGTCATCATCATTCCTGCCACTTCTGCCACTACCCTGCCCACCCTCATCATTTCTCTAGACCACAAATCCACACACATTTGTTAAGGCATTATCACGTGTGGGAGCAGGATATGCAAGAATGCAAGCTCAGGATTTTTGCTCCTCAGGAGCTCTCTACGTAGCTGGCATGTATCAGCTTTGGGTGGCTTCTTCATCCGTGAAGAAAGGTTGTCACATCAAGAAGTAAAGGTCAAAGATAAATGCTACTTAAAAAAAAAAAAATCGAGGCAGCATAAATAGAAGTACAATTAGAATAAATGGAGGATTTCCACCTGCTATCACGTTTCTTCTGAAGGATCCTTTCTTGGCAGGACACAGTGGGGAAGTGTGATGGGGTGTCTAAGATGGCTTAAAGCCAAATCCACCTAGAAATAGAGCAGCCCCTGGCAGAGGATAAGAGCGTAAACTAGAAGAATAAGGGGAAAGATTATTACAGGCGCTGATAAACAGAATGCCTAGTGCTTTGCAGAGGAAACCCAAATGAGACTTGACCTTGAGCTCTAAGAGCCTGGGAATGAATCCTGCTGTGAGGACACAGTGCCCGTGTAGCAGGAAGGAGTGAGTGGGACTGTACTGGGAAGCATGGAGGGCTGAGTAAAAGGTGGTCAAAAAAACAATGAAGGGGTGTTTACTGTTTTTCCTCTGTGACTACTGTGACAAACAAAAAATTCAGAACCCAGCAGGAAAGAATGGGTTATTCCAAGATGCAAGCAAGGAACAAGGTGACTGGAATTCCTGCCAATCAAGCCCGCTTTTCCAGGCGGAATTGATGGCCCTGCATAACAGTGAACAGAAAGCAGGACACCAAACACCATATGTTTGCGGGGGAGACGCATCAGCTAAGGAAATTAAAGAAAAATTACGCTGGGAAATATGAGTGGGAAACGGTGTTAAGCCATGAGGCTTGCCTTTAGGAGACCAGAATATCAAACAAGATCTTTCTGGGGAAGGGAGGGGTTTCTTCTGTCTGCAGGGAGTTTATTAGTAACACAAACAAGATTCTTCAATCCACAGAAGGTACATGTGCAGAGGCTGCAAGCTGACAGGCACCAGTCCCTTTGGAAACCAACTTTGAAGCTCCTGAGACTTAAAGCTGCCTCTAATTCCATCCTGTTCTAATAAGACAGTTTCTGTGGAAATAACGATTGGCTTTGATTTTTACTTCTTCATGGAAGTCCTAAGGCCAGTATTTTCTGAGAGGAGGTTACTATACTCACAGTAGCCTCTATGTAAGGTGAGTGGAAGCTGAGGAGAGGAACATTGTTTTGCATTTTAAAAACTAAGGTAGTGGGATACAAAGTGAATAAAGTGTAATTAATAAAAATTTTTTAAAAACATTAAAAAAACTAAGGTAGTGACAGCTTCAAGTCAATTTTTAAAAGATACATTCTACACATTCCTAATTATTACTTTAAAATGGTGTATATGACCAGCCCATTTACCATGTCACCACGGAACAAGTCACTCAAGGTAAACTTGCCTTCTGTAAACTTTTGCCCTTGCTGTGCTGCTCTGAAAACTCATGATAGTATTGTCAATATTACAGAGTTACTATTTTTTTAATTGTTAAGATCAGTGTGTCGGGCTGGAAAGATGGCTCAGCGATTAAGAGCACTGCCTGTTCTTCCAGAGGTCCTGAATTCCGTTCCCAGCAACCACATGGCAGATCACAACCATCTATGAGATCTGATGCCCTCTTCTGACTTGTATGTGTGCATGCAGACAGAATATTGTATACACAATAAATAAATTAAACTTGAAAAAATTCAACATCTCAGAAAAACTTCTAGCTATGCTAATATGGTTGTAATATCAATAAAAAATTATGTGATGATGAAATATTTGGCCGAAAGACATCAAAGTGCATTGGCTGATGGTGGTGGCCCAAGAATGTGATTCTTTAAAAAAAAAAAAAAATCACCAATAAATTATACAGGTCATCTGGATGGCAGTTATATTAAACAGAACCCTATACTTTGAGGCACTATAGATGGCTGCAATGGGATAATAATGACCTATTTATTTGAGGCAAAGGACTTGAGTGACAGCAAGGAAAATACAGTATGTATGTCAGTACTCTACTGCCTGAAGCCTTTATGTAAAAATGATTTCTGCTCCGGTCCTCCAATATGTCTTCCAAACGGAAGGTTTGATAAATTTCCCCCTTGAAATGGATGTTGAGACAATTAGGTTGTCACAAAATACAATCTCATGTGTAGCAAAAGAGAAACATGCAACTTTGGTATCTTCTTTAAAGACTGCATTAAAAAACCCTTCAGAGTCTTCTAAAACTCAATTAGCTGACATACTGTCAACACAGAAATAGTACATGTTCTGGAGAAAAGAAATCAAACAGGTACAATATCTAGCCATTAAAGGAGGCTGTTAACAGCCAGGTAATTTATTTAAGGGCGGAGCAGTGGCTGGCATGTGTAGACATTTGCGACCACTAATTGGTATACTTGGATGAAGTTTGGGAGACAGAATCAAAATGAATTTTAATTTATAGCAGAGATTGTTGTGGTATAGGGGCACTTTTGATAGCTTTCAGATATTTTTTTTCCTTAGCATAGATCTATTTATTTGTTTGTGTGTGCATGTGGAGGTCAGAGGATGACATTCTGGAGTCAGTGATTTCCTTCTACCATGTGCATTCCAACCTTTGCCCACTGAGCCATCTTGATAGCCCTGTGTTTGTTTTCCAGATAGTCTTGCTGTGGGGCCCTAGCTAGGCACTGGCTCTAGAGCATAGGTTAGCCTCAAACTCATGGTAGTCTTCCTTCTTCATATAGACATGCCCCACCACACCTGGATAACTTTTAGACTGGATAACTTTCAGAGTTGCTCTGTATCCCTGAATCAAAGAGAGCATTTCTTCATGAGCAAGCACTCTCCATTAAATCAGACACTTCTTGGATAGTTACAGTGACGAGAAAGCTTATTTTCTACAAAAGGTAAAACTTACTTTGATGACTAGCAGTGAGCATTATTATAGAACCTTGTTAGGACTGGTATAGGGAACTTATTAGTTGTTTTCAATTAATATAATTGCTTTAGACTCTAAAAAAACCCCATTTTGTTAAATATTTCCTTTAGATGGTATTGCATAAAATGCTAGGCTCCACCGAGTCCATTCAATCAGCAATATGTCCTTACAGGAGTGACAAGTAACAGGATCTCAAAGGCAGAAGTGAAAGTGAGAAACAGGAAGAAAAACTAAGGTGTCCCCAGTGCTGGGTGGGCTGCTGGCTGCCTTCCCCTCTCCAGTCTTCCTGTGTTTTCAGTGCCTCTGGCATAAAGACTGGACTGTGACTGTTTTGGGGAAGTTGTCTGGTCTGATTCTGCTAAGTGGCTGAGCTGAGCTGGTGTTAGAACTTGGTTCTGGAAGACAACCCCACCCCTATCCCTTACCCTGACCCTGCTTACCAGCCAACATCCCAGGATTGGTTGCTAAGGTCCCTTGGACAATGCCTTGAAAATTTTACTTGTTTTTAAAGAGGGTTATTTCCTTATGACCAACTTGTGATTTCTTGTTTTTTTTAATTTTCATAATTTATCCTGAGCACAATTACACACTTCAAGATGAGAGAGTCCGTCCTGAATATAAAACACCTGTTTACTGCTGCTTCCTCCTTCTTTCGGCACTCGGAACATTCTATCTCTGGAGAAAGCCTTTATTTACCAGGGCACTGTGGGCACTTATCAGTGCCCAGAGCTCTTGCCCTTGCTGCCTGGCTGTTAACAAATAAAACTCTTCATTTATACTGGCGGAGCTCCACAGTCCAG